TCCCGCCATGTGTCAATACGTTATTTCGGGATGAAAATTTTTGGAAAATGCACAACTCTCGCAAACTCCAATTGTCTTGGACCAGGATGATTTTTGACATTTTATCTGAGCTTAGAAAGTCCACCCGATATCTCACTGTGTATAATGTGAAATTTCTCAATTGTGGGTGGGAGGGGATGTGTCCACCTTCCACTTATCTCATAAATGATTAATTCTCGCCCCCCCCCCCAATTCCTCCTTTTCCTACCATATAATCGATCGTTTTGAGTTTATTTTCTAAAAAAAATATTTTCAGCTGTTTTATCCCACATCTGGCCCACTAACATCAAAGCGGAGTCATTGGTTTTCCACTTTTGCCTCCTGTTAATATGAATTATTTAGTTAATGTTTCTAACCGTCTCATTAGAATATAATCAAAAACCCCTAATTTTCATTTTATGAATGATTTTTTTCTTAGACCGGATCATAATGAATGCCACTAGACACAGTCTGGTGTACATAACTTCTGCAGGTTGCGTAAAAATAAAAATGGCCTCGAATATTGACAAAATTCTTGTAAATTATTTTTTATTAATAAAATTATTCTCCTTATTCTTGCAATTTTTGCTTGGCCATTTCAACGACCAGTAATTACAAATACGTGTATACTATTTTTTTATTTTAATGATAAGATATGCAACGTACTTTTACCACTTTCAGATGTTCATATGGTCTTCTATTTCAACCGCATTCGCGAAGCCTGTTTTGTATACTCCTGTATAATATGCTTTACTTTTAGCTAATCAAAAAAACTATACTTTATCATCTTTTCACTCATGTGAAATAAAAGCAATTCGTATGGAACTAGATGATAGCTGAATTGAAGTATACCTAGTCATTGCCTTCCCTATGAACATCACGTAAATTCAGTTTTATTTGGTATTTATTTTTGCCAGAGTAAATCACCTTAGCCTATTAAATAAAAACGCCTAAAAGTATTTCTAGGTAAGAGTCCGAAAAAAAAACAAAGAAATGGAATTAATTAATAAAGGCATTTAATAGAAGCATTATTAAGGCTCGAATCACTAACTTCTCTATCACTTCTTCGTGAGTGAAAGGCAATTTCAAACAGATATGTGTTACTTTGAATCAGTGCTTGAATTTGTGCTACTAGAACATAGATCAAGCCAAAATTTATGGTATAAAATTGAACAATCACTTAGCAATATGACCACACATAATGAAGACATTAATTTAACTAAAAGAGGCTCTAGAAATTGTACTTTTGACAAGACTTCCAAGAAACTTCTGTGACTGCATCCTTTTTTGTCATATTTCGAAAGTCTGTACTTAAATTATGTGGCTTGTAAGTTGGTTGAAATTTCGAGCACAGAAGGGTGGATTGTGGAGTTAACTTAAAACAAAATTGAATTTGAGCGCCAGTTTTGACTATTCCTATATTTGCGTTACTATTTCAGTTCGTGTAGCTTTCATAGAATTTAAACATTGCGTTTCCTTTTAAATAAGGTTCTGTCGTTAGCAATATTTAAAATATAAGCAACAGCACTTTAAAATATTTTATTTAATTTTTGCATTTTAATGACATTTTTAATTTTAATTAAAGTCTTATTATGATCTAAGCCATAGGGTTTAGAGGAAAAGTTGACGGACTTACGTTTTTTGCTCGATTCACCTCATATTTGTTAAATTTGCTTTAGCTATTTTAAACTTCGCTTCTTTTACATCGATTCCATTTCACAAAATATTTGAATTTTCTATTGATTGTTATGAGTAACTTAAAGAAGCACAATAATCAAGATATCGTCCTTCAGTGTATTGGTCTTACGGAATCACCGATGCCATAGTTTCGTTTTCAAAATTAGAACGTGAGTTTGAAGGGAATGGTAGTGAATTGGACGTTCATCGAGGAAAGGAATTAGTAGTTGAAGGTTGGGAACTAAATGACGCGTCAAAACGCGTATGGGAGATTTAAAACATGTTACATGAATTTAATATCTTAGGCGAATTTAAACTTCAAACAGTCGTAGACAAACATAATGCTGATGTGACCCCAAGTGCTAATTGGGTCAAGTACTTAGGAAATATGCTTTACATATTATTTTATGAAGCGCTTGATTTCTAAACAAGCCTTTCGCCATATAATTGATTTTAGCGCCTATCGAATCTACACCATTGATGCATATGGTATTGTACTAATTAAGATGGCCGTTTTAGAAGATTTGCTAAAATTTTCGATCCGCCTTTTACCCCTCCGTCCATGTACCTTGATTCATCACATCTGTCTGCAAAATTTGGCATTCTTTTAGTAGTTATTTAAATGGTATTTTCGTCAATTAATCTTCCTTGTTAGCATTTGTTTGCAAGCTCAATTATTCTCCATTAATAATTCTTTTGTGGTTGATAGGAATGAAAGATAGGACCAATAAAAACTGCAATGAAGTCTAGTCGTCAGCTTGAATCATTTTTTAATGGTTATGACGAAGTGGGAATGCTCGTGGAAAAGCTTCATGAATATAAAATGGAAAAAAGATCGAAACAAAGAGTAGAGGGAGAATCGAGCAGTCGTTGAGAATGAACTCGACGGCATCAAAAGAGCCAGAACTTCCAACACTAATGTCATAACCGGCTTACATAAATCGCGGCCGTATTGATCCTTAAATAAGCATTTAAATTGATAATAGACTCTGTTTACGCTATACACAAGTAACATCTACCAACATAGAGAGGTGACGGTAAGATTCATAAGTTCATTTGTTCGTGAGGTCCCAATTATGTTAATGGAACGCCTCCAATTTTTAAGTTGTAAGCTACTTTTAGCAGTTTATTTAATCCCAACAGCAATAAGGCGGCTACTTAAATGGTTTGAGTAGGAAATCCTATTTCATTTCATGAATTTGACGGCTGGATATCAATTCACTGTGCAATCGGGTACCACTAGTGCCAATAAACCGGGTAACGATAAACGTGCATCGTTATTTTAGTATAAACCAATTACTACTTGAGAAATCATCGGCCAAAAATCTCAAAAACCAATTATAATCCTCTTAAAAATCAAAAGTAATAATTCAAGCTTTGATGGCGCAAACCTGAACAAGTCAAGACCTCAACCATAAAATACATGCACATTATAAAACGCAAAACCAGAGCCGACATAATGTAGCAAATCGGCAAAACAAGTAAACACCTTTTCACAGAAATTCACTGTAAGGCTGCCCCCGACAATCTGCAAACACACTAAAAGGACTAATTGGATATTGCTAGTATTTAAATCTGACAAATCAGCAGGACCGCCACGCAATAATTTACGTAGGAACAATACCAACCAAAAACCCGAAGTTCGAAATCGCTGGACTTCAATGAGTACAAATGTTTGATATAAATTCAATGCAAAGCATAAAAAAAAGGTAACAAATGAAGCCAAAATAGTGTTAACGCTAATAATCTCGAAACTAACAAAATAATCTGCAGCAAAAAAAAACCAATTACCCGCCTTCACTTGAAGCAGACAAATACGACACCTCGAATAATTTGAAACACAAATGCGTAATCTCCCCAAATAATGAAAAGAGGCAGCCCGTATAAGAACGTGTTTACTGGAAAGCCATAATATACAAGACTTAGTTCTTCTTCTTCTTCTTCCTCTTATCGATGCCAGTAACTTTAGCAACACCTCTGATCTTCTTTAGCTTATTCTTCTTTTCTTTGCGCTGTTTACGGGCACCCTTCTTTGCTTCGGCAAGACCATTCTATAAGCAAATATTAATTAGTAATACCAAACTGAATTACTCTGATCAGGCGATACTTGGGCTCATAGCGTTTGGCAAAATCCAAAGAATCATAGACGTTAACGAACCCGGATGACTTTCCACCACCAAATTTAGTTCGGAAACCGAATGCAAAAACAACATCAGGAGTAGTTTTGTACTTTTTAGCCAGACGTTCCCTAATTTCCTTCTTGGACAAAACAGGCTGCCCAGGATGGAAAACATCCAGGATCATTTGCTTCCTAGAAAGCAACCGATTTGACATGAATTTACGCGTCCGAATTAAGACGTTATCAGCCTAAAACGATATTTGGAAAATCAATAAAAAACTAGACTGCAAGACATACCATCTTTCAACACGCTGAATGTGCAAACACTTTAAGCGCTAAAGTGCTTATTTAAAGAAAAGTACAAAGTAAATGTAAATTCATAATTCATTTAAACTGTTATTTTAGTTTTTATTACTTATTTGTTTTAAAATTTTTATTTTTAACAATTTGGCGACTAAAGTGAACATGGTATAATTTTTGAAAACGATTAAAGTTTTATTAAAGATGGCGAAATTAATTTATAAGACTTTACTTTTGACTATTGCTCATCAAATTAAAAGAACTTTTATATGTTAAAGTTAACTATTGTACCTATATAATATATAAAATAACTAAAATAAGGGACACATTACTAAATTCTTGTGTATATAATTTTATGAATAGTTTTATTTCCCACATCAACTGGCCAAAACGATTTAAATAATTTTAACTTTAAGAATCAATGAAGGAAATAATTTAAAAATTGAGAATATATTGCATATATATATATTATATAACAAGGAGTTATTTTAAGTTTTATTCAGGACATTATTTGCTGTTTGGCTCAATGTATTAACATAAATATTTCAAAAAATATCTTTTTAAAACGACTTATTTATCATGTTTAATTGAATAGTTTTACATGCTAATCTATCGGATTTATTAATGTCCACATTTCCTATTTAAAAATGTGGGATGTGGAGGAGATAAAGTAGGAACCATATAAATACAGAATGGAAGGCTACCAATATATATTCAAGTTTAATGTATTGGGCATAGAATATTAAAAATTTGGACCTACTGAACATTCAATGAATCAGAGTTTATTGAAAAGGCCAAAAAAATAAACAGTAGTATTGCATATAGAAGCAAGCTGACATTCTCAAATACGCCTTGATTTTAAGAAGCTTTTATTAATTTTAATAAATTGAGGCATAAGAGGCAGGCAACCGATTCCTTTTTATTAAAATCTTAGTCTTCGCCAATTTAGTCACAATATATAACTCCGAAGTTTCAACATTTTCACTCACTAGTTTGGTCAACCACCGGGATAAATTTTGGTTGCCAAGATTCAGTAAAAATTTTTTAATACCATAGTCAAGTCTAGTCATTGATGGACGGATTGATTGCTGCTATCCATTTTGTTATCTATGTGGAAGCGGCAGACACTTTTGGAAAGTTTGTAGAAGCTGTCAATCTCTTCTGGTGGCCAATTAAATCTCAGCTATATTAGGCACCTTCCGTCCAGATATGTGGCATCCATCGGGAATATTCGAAAGGACTCCTTAGTCAGTTATGTTATCCTCCACTTCCTATACTTTCCTTTCAGAGAACCTTAAAAACTACTAGATATTTGATTCGAATGTTCATTGAAAAATAAAAATATATACAACATAGTTCATGGGAAATAATATTGGGTTTCACGTAGCAAATGCGTTTGAGTGTTTTGATCACAACTACCTTCAACACATGCTGAAATAGAAGGTGACAAATTAGATTTGAAATCACACACATTACAGATGCGATGAATGCAAGATTTCGCTGATAGCGACTCCTCAAGTGTCTCAACCAAATCTCACAGTTTTTATTTATTTTTATAAAGCATTAGTATGTTCCTCACTAAACGTCGTATATATCGCATTTTATGCATTACTATTATATAAAGTCAGAACATAATAAAAATATTTTGATTGAAGTACTTTATCAGTGGAGATTTTGATGAATATTTGTACATACACTGCATCTGCTCTATTAAAGTATATGGAAAACATTGTTGTAACTTGGTACTTCTTGTTTTTTATTTGAGATGAAGTAATATTTTAATATACCTAAAATCTCAATTTCAAAAATCAATCATATTCTAGGATATATAAATATTTGATATATTGCATGCTTATAAACAGAACACTACTGCAAATTTAAGTTTTTATATTAGTTTTATTTATTTACTTTTTTCTCAGTTTGAACAATATTTAATTATTCACTCCATCCTTGTTTTAAGCGTCACTTTTTCCATTCATATCGCTCCTTATCTGTATTGTCTGCACCATTTTCGATCCTTTCGGTGAGCTTGTTTGTAGTGTGCCACGTTGTATTTGCTTAAAATTATATTGTTTTATAAGTAACTTGATGTTTACTGTTTTCTTCATGCCTTGCTTCTCAATTCTATATTTGGGTAAACGTATATGATTATTATTTAGACATTATCAGCCAATCAGATTCATCTTCTGCATCCTCGTTTACTTCGCATTCAAGGATGAGCAGTAGTGAAGAAGTGTCATGGATTCTCTGGTTTTGTGGACTTCGCGGAAATGAATTCTTCTGTGAAGTAGACGAAGAGTACATACAAGATAGGTTCAATCTCACTGGGCTTTCCGAACAAGTACCGAATTTTCGAGCTGCACTTGACATGATCTTGGATTTGGAACCCGGTATAAGAAATGATTCTAATCCTTTACCTTTTTTCCTTGTTTGGGTTTTTTTGATGTATTTAACAACTCTTATTCTTAGTAGATGAAATTGCAAATGACACAAATGAACCTGATATTATCGAACAGGCTGCAGAAATGCTCTATGGTCTAATCCATGCTCGATATATCCTTACAAATCGCGGCTTAATAATGATGGGAGATAAGTGGCTTCAAGGGGATTTTGGTTATTGCCCTCGTGTGTATTGTGATAACCAGCCCTGTCTTCCAATCGGTCTTTCTGACATTCCTGGTGAAGCTATGGTTAAAATCTATTGCCCACGATGCCAAGATGTCTACACTCCAAAATCAACCCGCCATCATCATACCGATGGTGCTTACTTTGGCACTGGCTTCCCTCATATGCTCTTTGCTGTTCATCCAGAATATAGACCGAAACGAGCTCCTAAGCAGTTTGTTGCCAGGTAAGTTCAATTCTTATGAATTGTTTTGGGAGACGGGAAATTATTTGTGCCTAATCGGTATTGTTTGCTCCATTAGACTGTATGGATTTAAGATTCATCCTTTGGCTTATCAGCTTCAGTATCAAGCAGCGGCCAATTTTAAGGCACCAATGAGAAGTGGCGGATTCGGGAAACGTCAATTATGAAAGTGAATTGGCTTTAAATGTTCTCCTTACCTTGTGTACAAATGTGTGGCGTAGGCGCTTATCCCCCTCCACCCCTTGGATATTTACCCGAACTAATCCATTAGTGCTATTTATGAAGGACTTGTACGTTTGTCTCCTTTAAACAACTAGTATACCTTGTTCATTCAAATTCTGTCCTCCATTGCATCGTGAATTTGTCATGAACTTTGATATTTATCGCTTTTTCTCTATGATTCGTGTCTTTCTAGAAAGGTGCTAAGATATTAGCATAAGCGTTCGGTTTGTTGCTAATTGTGTCAGCTTTTAGCCTGTGCTTATTTCCGCAGCCATACGGAGTACAATCGTCTTTGAAATGTTTTTTTTCCTGTACATGAGCTGCTGCTTTTGGCTTGACCTGTTTATTTCAGTAATATTTTGGTAAGATGCCTTTATCGAAGTTTTTTCTGTTTAGAGCTGTAGCATTTGTTGTCATAGTGGCAGGTTGTCTAAGGTTTTTGCAAGAACACTGCTTGTAATCGTCATTTTATTCAACCTAGGTACTGGCTTTTGCGGTGGTTGAATATTCTGATTTCTCCCCATTGAAAGAATAGCATATTTAGTACTCAGCTTAACTAATACCTTTAGTTTTATGTGACCAGTACAAGTTTTTTTGTGGCATGATCAGTTGAATTCAAGCTCAATGAAATATGTTCTCTGGAGAGGAATTCCATCAGATATGGATGCAGTATGTCCCTTCTCTAGATAAAGAGGTAATGGTTAAATGTACCTACATAAAAGACTAGCTTAGGTTACTTGCATTCTGGCAAAGATGAGACTTATATTGCTTTTCGAACTATACCATTCCATGGTTGATTTTAAGTATTATATTGCATGAGGCGCCATAATGTTGAGAAGTCCTGACATTTCGTGCTTTTCGAAGTATATCATCCCATGGTTGATTTCAAACAAACATTAGTTTTGTCTAAAATGCCAACATGTGCACGTTTTACATATGTACACATGATTGGTCATGTACTTCGCGATTTGGATTATTTCCTTTATTTCATGTAACGTGACTTATGTCAGACGAATTTAAAATTGATTTTAAAATATAATCATGGTATTTTTCTCTGCCTGCCTTATACTCTAACTCTAGCCCATCACGGTGTTTTCGTCGTATTTATTTGTAGGGGTTCAGTCATTTAATTAAATTATCTGATCAAAATACTACGTTTTTCTTAGCACTTAGAGTCTCCGCTGGTAGGTAACGGAAGAGTACTACGGCTATTTCGTTGTAGTAACTATTTTGCCGCTTTAAATGCCAATATTAACGTGATTATCCCGTTGGTTTCCGCTATTACTTGATAGGCCTCCATAATGGCTACAAATTCCAAAACTCAAAAACAGCATCCAAATGCCATAAAGCTATTTCTGAAATTTGATCTTGGTGAATGATTTATAAGTTCTGGATTAAACAAAATTGCACCCATCCTCTCTCTATCTCTCAAAGCAAAATAATATATGTGTCTTTCCTGATAATCAAGCAGACAGGGTTTCGGGTTGATCATTCCCTGGCCATGATAGACTCGTGCGGGCGTGATTTAATCATGGAAGATTTTGTAGTCTTTGGGGCTTTACTTTGCCCTATCTCCGACTGTTGGTTGCAATTTCATCGTCATTTCCTGCTTTACGGGTGCTGCAGTAGGAAATACCGAAGGAGATGGGGGGGGGGGCAACTTTTAATAGAAGTGCAACGGGTATGCTCTCATTCGTGGGCCTTAATCCAAAATTTATTTATATCAAATGGCAGGCGTTTTGATAGTTATCATTAGCCCTTTAGTTGACTTCGGGCTTCATAGAGGGTGGAACATCAAAGTGAAAAAAGTCGAG